GAAAGCACTTGGTCGATAAATACCTAAAATTGCAGTATCAATATTAAGTTTAATTAAGAGAACGCTGGCTTCTGCTACAGAGGGTTCTTCAATTGAGATGCCTGTAATACAATTTTTATAGTAAACCAGGACTCCGTCATTTTTATTAACTGGGTTACAGGAAGAGATGCTGGAGAAACCTTTTATGGTTGGTATTACCGGGTTGCTTTCTAGAAAACATTCAGTGAGAATGATAATATCCGGGATAGTATGAAAATTTGTAAGTAAAATTTCAAAGTTCGCGAAATTTGCCGATAAGCTCCGAATATTTTGCGTTATAATATTTAGGACTTTATTATGTTTAGGTAAATAGTTTCGGACTTCATGTGGATCACAGCAATGGCTTGAAGCAACCGATAGATTATCGATGTTGTTTAATAATTGTCTATTATTACGATCGAATTTTGAAGCCTTGAGTAACTAAAAGTAACCAATTTGCTAGCACAATACAGTTATTAAATGGGAATAGCAGTGTAAGGTCAATGAGTGCAAGCATAGGCTTACTAAACTTAAGGATATATGCACGCATTGGAATTAGAGTACAATTTAAATAGTATATATCAGTGAGATAGTCATAGATTATGTATAAGAGAAAAGTGTCTACAATATTTGTGTGTGAATAAAGAGGTATGAAATTAATTACGTGAGTAACAACTCTAGAATAATATTTGAAAATTGAGCCTAAGGAACCAAATACTATCAGAAATGCTAAATTATATAGGTATATTATATGAGGAAATATAAAATATAATATAATACATATGTAAAGGAGCGTCGGCACTATAGCACAGTTACAAACAATGATCTTACCTAGTACTAATATCATAGTAATTAAAAAACTAAATCTAATCATAAACAAAGACGGAAATACGTCGCAAGGATCTAGTTTTTTTGGCTGGGGGCCAACCAGCTGACTTTCATTAGTAACAACAATGAGTTTGGTGTGGTCTGCCTGCCTCAGCAGCACTCGGCCTCCGGAAGTCCAGCTATACTTATATTTTTCCGTCTTGGCGTATTCTCGAGCTAGATAGTATAGGCGGCGTGCCTGTGCCGTCAGATGCTCGGCGAAGTAAATCGGATGTTGCGGACCACCGACGATGGTGGAGTTGAGTTTGTTACTGCCTCTGTTATGTTCTTTGAAAGCCTTCAGAATTCTTCCCCTCGTAATAACTGAATTCAGGGTGCATACCAGAGTGATACTATCAGACTTTGACGGGACGCGGCGGATATCAAATATCTCAGACAACGAGACTTCCACCGATATCTCCTTGAAAAGCCGAGTGACAACAGATATCTGCTCATCCTGAGACAGAGTTCTGTTTGCCAGCCGGATGTTACGAATTTCCAGGGAGCTCAGCCTAGAACGACGGTCCATATCCTCTGTTGTGTCTTCAACCTTAGATACACGCTCGAGGAAAGATTGTGTTTGTTTTTGATGTGAACTCAATTGTAACAGCAAGTCATCATACTTTTGCGACAAAAATTCTATAGATTTTTCTGTTTCACTCTGCGAAGCCAGAATTTCTGTGTTTTGTCGCACAACATCCTGCACGTACGTTTTTATTTCTGACAATTTCTCATCAGTTTCCTGTCGCCACATATTAATCGTGTTTAAGAATTTATCGATTTTTGACTCTTCCGAAGCTCCACCACATTCGCACCGCCTACGCTTCGAACGTTGAGTAATGTTGTCATCAATAGTGCTAGTATCACTTAAGTTTAAGTTTGGAGCGGAGCCATACTGTACATCTTGTTTACATGGACTTCTAATCATTTTGTGATCGCAAACAGAAGAAGCTATCCGTGTCAATGCAAAAATATATATAAAGGCGACAACACTTAAAGTGATGTGCGATTTACTAATAATCTTATGGTATAATTAGTAAATCACTATTGGGCCCTGTACTAGCCACGCCTCCTTTAACTTGCTCGTACGCAGGTGGGCGTTACTGCTAATTAGCCACTCGAATTGCGGGATGCGTAACGACGAGATGCGCCAAATATAATTATCTCACTCACTCTTATGCTGCGTTACTTGAGTGGCCTCCGAGCTTGGTGGGAGAGCCGTAGTCACCTCGCAGTACACGAAGCTTGTCTTGAGTATCCTCGGGAGTTATGTGCGCCTAGTACTCGAATCACTTATTTTTGAATATATTAAATTTAAAAATATTTTTAAAATAATTTTATAAGGTGTAGCCGTAAAACACGTCTAGTCAGCCAGACATCCAAGGGGGGAGAGCGAACATTAAATTTACTGTTGAACAAGAAAACAACAACTGTCTGCCCTTTTTAGACATTTTAATTATACGCAAAGCAGATGGCACACTAGGTCACACAATACACAGGAAGGCAACCCACACAGATAGGTACCTCAATGGTGAATCCCACCACCACCCTTCACAACTACTTTCTGTCGGTAAATGTTTGTTTCAGAGAGCCCAACGTCTTTGTGATGATGCCCACCTCGAGAAGGAACTACAGCATGTCAAATAGGTGCTACACCGAAACAAGCTGCGCATCCCCCGGCTACATCACAAAAACAAAAACAAGACACAAACAGTTCCCCGCCAGCCAGCCTACTTGCCATATGTAAAGGGAGTTACAGATAGAATTAGCCGGATCCTAAAACGAGCTTCTATTCATACAATTTTCAAGCCGCACAAGAAGATTCAGCAATTCCTAAGACCAATCAAAAGTAACACCCCATTGCAAGATGCAGGTATATACAAACTGGATTGCGACTGTGGCCTGTCTTACATAGGGCAAACTAAACGCAATATGTCCAGCAGACTCAAAGAACACATTGCAGACATAAGACATAGACGACACACAAAATCAGCAGTCTGTGAACACATACTAGATAGGCCTAATCACTACATACGCTTTGATCAACCGAAAGTACTTGCGAAAGAGAAAAGATTCTTCCCAAGATTGGTACGCGAAGCCATTGAAATCAAAAAACACCCCAATTTCAATAGAGAAGACGGCCTAAAATTGTCAAACACCTGGGATCCAATAATATCCAAATTAAAATCTCAAAAAGAAAAACAATCCGCGAAAATAGAGGACACCGTGAGCCATTTTTGCCAAAACCCTCCATCTTTTAGTCGATACCAACTCCGGGGAAATAAATACAGATAATGCAACTTTCTCTGCAGCTGTGATACTTTTTCACATTCAACATCTTTTGTCTTCAGTCACCGTGACCACGCACGCTGTAAAGCACGCGAAACGTCGGATAAATTTAAAATTATGTCAAATAGTTGTAAATTTATAATAATAAACATAACTTTAATCCGGTAAATAGCGTTTTTCTTTAAATGTGTAAAGGTTATGTTAATCAAAGACAATACAATAATAATTAAATTTAAATGTTCGAATAGCACAGACTCGAGCTGGGCCTCGCCTAATAATAAACATAACTTTAATCCGGTAAAAAGCGTTTTTCTTTAATTATTATTATTTTTTTCAATTTGAAAAACACAAGTTTACAAGATTTAAACTATAAATCGTTTGCAACATTTTATTTTCATGTTTCATATGATTTTTTAAAGTATTTTTAGCCATTTTCCTGAATGTACGATAATTTATCGTATATGGATCACATATACGATAATTTTACGGCCCTGGTACGATAACTGCCTGGCTTCAGGTTGTGAACACTGCTGTTAATTTGTAGATCATAACTGATTAGACTTTGAAGTTATTAAATAAAGAATATGGCAGCTGACACCAGCGCCACCACCCCGATATATATAATAAGTTAGGCTAGAAGATATCTTCGTGCAGTCTATTTATTTAAAAATATTACATCAACTCTGTATTTAAATTCACATTCAAAATGTTCAAGCACAAACACCAAATCAAAAACTTTAATCAAGCATTAATTTTAGTCCTTACAAGTTTACAAGTTTTTATTTTCTTGACTATATAATATTCTTTGACTGTTTATCAATTTTCTCTCCACTTACCAATGTTCAGTGGTATTCCTATTGTTTCTTCAAGGGCGTAACTAAATAAGTGGAAATGAAATCCTGAAAATATAAAAGTATGAATAGGTATTATTAAAAAAATGTTTGTCGCAATAATGCAGGGTCAACATATTTTTATTATTTATCGCCTCATATTTCTGATAGAAAATGAAACAACCCTTAATTATTTTTAACATGCAATTCAAATTATATTGCAGTAATATCGCAATTTGTTCTTTGGCTGTGAAAAAGCATATTAATATATGTCGAAACCGCCTGAGTGATATGTTAAAAAATAGATCCTATTACGTGCCTCTATATAAATTCATCAAAAATACAGTGGGGAAATTATAATAAACCGAATAAAAATACTCAAGACTTGGCCTAATAAAGGTCTAGATACCAGGCCATAAACTCCAAAAAAAATATATATATTTCGAAAACTTTTTGACAGCGATCTGTCACTTGTCAGTTGTCTAGACGCCAAGGCGTCTTGACTCTTGACTCTTGTCACAGGGTAGTGGGTAGTGGGTACAGGCCTACAGGCTCCATAATATTAATATTATTTGAAAGTTTGAAACTGCAAGAAAAGAAACATCAATTTGAAAATGTAGAAGTCCGAGAAAAATATAATTTTGAACTTAAAAACAATTAACACGCTTTCTAGTATGCTTTACTGTCGATCTTAATTCTTAATATAAACTAAACGTAATCTCTGAGGAGTATTTATTATCCGATATCGTTATCATTTATGTACTTACTTTGTTATTACTTAATTATTCAACTTTGTTATTATCATCTAAAGGATTGGATGACGAATCAGAAATAATTCATTACGTATTACATCACTCTAGTAGCACCATTTAGTAGGTATTTTATGTTTATCTACTATTGTTGTTTCTGTAAGCAAAATACCGTGAGGGCTAAGAATTTCATGTGAAAGCGGATTTCCAGAATGTTTCTGGTAGTGTAGTGGTATAGAGTATTATTATGCAGTGGAAACAGCGCGTAGTACTCTGGTCGTTGGTGGCGGCGTCCCTGGTGCAGCAGCCGGCACCGGAGGTTCGAGTGAGCGGCGGCTGGGTTCAGGGCATCATCAGTGCTGATGGCTCCTTCTATCTTTACACTGGCATTCCTTATGCTACCTCCACCCGTTTCAGGGTTTGTCTTACACACCTATTATTATCACATTGGTCTTCTACACCATAGATACACACTATCAACTATAATTAAATTGTGGCCTTGAAATTCAAAACTAGGAATTTAAAATTACTACTGTGTGACTCAGATTAAAACAGAAAAATGTATGACTGTAACCTTGTCAATACCTATAGGTATTTATCAAGATAAATTATGCTTTAATAATTTTATGCTATTTTAAGATGTACAGTAAAGGTCCTCTTTCTAACCATGCTGGAGAATAAGGGTAAATAAATATTTTTATTTTTACTAGTCTATCTTTGTAATTATATTCTACAAATGTTTGCAATATGTCAAATGTTACAAAGGTTATTCATAATAATGGCTAGTATTTTTTGTACTTGAGAGAGCTTAGGAAAAGGAATGATACTCTTTAAGGAGTAGTTTACTGTCTAAATAGGTTTAGTCGACACTTGTAAAGATATTGTGTGAGAACTGTAGTAATCTCATATTATAAGCTGATAATTTATATAAATAAAAATATGTATTCTATTATTAATATAGGTAGATAGATATTTACTAAGAATATATTGATAACACTGGTGGATTACATTAACATTGATATTGTGTAGTTTAGAATATTTTAAAAAATCTAATAGTGACTATTATTGAGGCATAAGTAAAACAATTTTTAAAATCATTAAACTATAAATAAAGTTGGATTTCCATCTAACTAGCCTACAAGCATAAGTTATATCTTGACCAACATGGTGGCTATCATTTTTGCATGAGGTTTCTTACAAATAATAAATATTGATGTAATAGGTATGTCTATAATAATATCTCATAATTTAAGATTCGGCTAATCTTATAGATTGAGATAAAAAACATAGGTCAACTAGCTACCTAAAATTATATGTCATGCTAAGATAGTGGAAAATGTCATGAGTCAGTTCCAAATTCTGAACCATCCCAATTGAAGATAAACAAGATAAGGCCTAAATTCCCTTTAAAAAAGTTATATTGAAGTTTTTCAAACTGGCATATTTATTTATTTTACTGGTAAGCCTCATATTTTATGTCCTCATAAGATTTGTTTCTGACTCTACAAGAAACAAATTATTTCCCCTAAAATAATTCTTACATGATGCCCTTTCTATTAATTGAAGTTTAAACTACATTTTTAGGTCATCTGGATCACTACCATCTAGTACTATTAAAACAGTTTGGCTCAAAACTTAACTCTCTCTCTCTCGGAGCTCTGTCCCTAAATGTTAATCACAAGACATTTTCTTAGTTGCCTACGTAAATAGATTTTTATATAGCTTCTGAGTTTTCAAAGCAACTGCAGTTATAGGTACCCTTTTCAAGGTAATACAATAACATATAAAATAACAATAACCGATATGATTAATAGGCCCCGGGACCGCCGCCTAAATGGGAAGGCACGCTGAGGGCTGTCAACGATATTGAGGTTTGCCCTCAAGTAAGCATCGTGACGGGCTCGGTGGTGGGCTCGGAGGATTGTCTTAAACTCAACGTCTACGTGCCGGCGATGACAGTGATGCGTCCGCGGGCCGTCATGGTATTTATACATGGTGGAGCTTTTGTCGTGGGCAGCGGTGGTCGGTTTATTTATGGCCCGGAGTTTCTCATGAAAAAAGACGTAATTCTCGTCACTTTTAACTATAGACTCGGCGCTCTGGGATTCACATGCCTCGGTATAAAAGAGGCTCCCGGCAATGCCGGCTTAAAGGATCAAATAGCCGCTCTGAAATGGGTTCGAGATAATATTGGTTCATTCGGTGGTGATCCGGACAACGTGACAGTGTTCGGAGAAAGCGCAGGTGCCACTTCCGCTTCTCTTCTGATGGCGAGTACCACTGCCTCCGGCCTTTTCAAACGCGCTATCCTGCAGAGCGGTAGTGGGATATCAAACTGGGCTATCAATCGGGAACCTGTACGGGTAGCGAGTCTGGTCGCGTCCAAATTAGGCTTTCATTCAGAGGACCCACACGAACTCTATGAATTTTTAAGTAAAACTGATTATCGGGATTTGGTTCCGGTTATGCATGGTAAACCTGAAGAACTGTTTTTTGACACTCAATTACTCCATTTGCCCTGCGTCGAGGAAATAATCCCAGGGGAGATGTCGGTGATCACAGATCTTCCTTGGAATTTATTTATCAAGAAGAAAAATCACGTTCCGGTTGTCTACGGCACCAATTCACGAGAGGGAATGTTCCTGACGGCGGAGGTGGACGGCTCCGTGGAGGGAAGGAACGGTAAATACATAGTTGCCAGTGATCTAAGTTTCTCTAGCGTGGAGGAGGGCATGCGCGTCTCCCGCGCCGCGCAAGACTTTTATTTCGGCTCCGATCGTATTTCTATCGAAAGAATAAATAATATTACAGATCTATATACGCATTTATATTTCGAAGTTCCTTCAATACTGGAGTCAGAGCTTCTGTTAAACTCAAGCAGTGAGCCAGTGTTCAACTATATATTTGATTACTCCGGCGGACGTAATCTACTAAAGTTTCGTACGTCGCGAAGCGGCGGAGGTGAGAAGGGCGCATGTCATGGGGACGAGCTTTTCTATCTGTTTGATGCTGCAGTGCTGCCCTTTCGTCTTAGCGAGGCCGACCGTGATATGGTAGACTTCCTTACCTCACTTTGGTCTAATTTCGCGAAATACGGGTTAGTTGACATAATCACATCTTGTTGTGAGACTGTTTCTTTGTGTAAGGAAACTGTTAATAAAATGTGTATTGTATTACAGGAATCCGACTCCGGCAAAGCAACCCAGTTTAGTCCGTTGGGAGCCAAGCGATACGGGCCAACTACGGTTTTTGCATATCGGGCAAGTGAGCCGCATGGGTGCAATGCCAAACCCAAGCGCGTATCGCCTCTGGAGAGACATTTACCTTAGATATCGCAAAACTAATTACAAACAACCATCAATACTACAGCCAAGCTAAGTGTTAGCTTAGCCCGGTTATAGTTTTGTGCTTATAGTATAATATTAGATTGGCTTCCCGTTCTTGTATTTTTTAAGTGAAAACTTCTTTAGCGGCGTTGTACACTTTTTTTGGAATGGGTAAAAAATTTTAAATTTGGGTCAGGACAAATTCGTAAGACGGATGTTTTTTTCAAGGATTATGAACCTTCGTGCTATATAGTTACGGTTTTAATTCATTTGTCTCTTTCCTCAGATACATTGATGCATGTGGAATTGGACCTTAAGTCAATACATCAAGGTTTAATTTTGCGAAACGTTATTAACGTCAGAATGACGCGAATAAAAATGGCAACTTAAAAAATAGTGAATTTTCCTAATTGAATTATTTCATAATAAATATTTTATTCTACCACATCAATAATAGTACTTTTATACTGATGATTAAAGCAATTCGTGTAAAATTATTCCCTAACCATTCCAAAATATCAAAAATGCACAACGTTAATATTCAAGTTTTCACTTCTGCCGGCACACCCGGAGTACAACCCGTCTTTTTTTTAAATTTCTCATTCTTGTTTGGTCATCGAAAATGTACATAATAATAAAGCCCGTTGATTGTCACAAGTGTGTTTACAATTATTTCTTATTATATTCTTTTTTTTTCTTATTACCTATTTGTTATCGTATCTTTTATTGACCGGTGATACCGCCGCCCATGGCCACTAACACTGCCAGAAGGCTCGCAAATGCGTTGCCGACCTTTTAAGAATTCGTCGATATTTTCTTGAGTTGCGTCGCATAAAATTGCCTTAAAAACGTTTAGTTGTGGAACGATGGACGTCAAGGTCACAGGTGAAATTTTATGCTCTGTCTGGGCGTCCAATTATGAACTCAGATACAGACATTCATCCGAACCACTCCTCTGAACGATCTATGGCAAATGTGGGGTAAAAGAGAGACCCCCGATCTATACGCAACGCCAAGAGATCGACCCGCTCAGAATTGACTGGTCATCGAAGATTCGAACCGCTCTTCATTGAAATCAGTCAAGTGGAAGGAGATAGTACTAGGGAGCTCCCGTGCCCCACCTCTGGGAACAGTACTCGATGTGGGGCCAAATTTGCGCTTTGTTAGCAGGCAATCGCTACGCTGCCCTCGCGAGCTGGTGGAACCAGTTATACCTACCTATAAATTGACATGTGAATATTATCACAAAATAATTATTTTAGCTTTAGACTGTGACTTAAATAACTTTATTCATATAGGTTACCAAGTAGGTACACTTATGAACGTCAATAGAATTTAATTGATTTTAAATTTACATTTAATACCAGTTCGCAAGTCAAGGGCGTAGAGCGAGCAAGAAGAACTGGCAAGAAACCTCCGCCACTATTTTTAATTGCCAAGTTTTGAGTCATACAAATTATTAGAACCGGAGCAACTCAATCCCAAGGATTAGGATCATTTAAAAATTCGGAAAATTTATAAAAAGCTTTATTGATTATTTATGTTTAACTAGATTTTTTTATTTTTTCAATGATAACTTTCTAATTTTGCTTGCGAGTTTGTTGTAAAATCGAATACAATTCCCGTACAAGGAGTGGTTTATTATCTGGAGCCTGGTTGGTCGTACGCTTAAATTAGTTCTGTTTCGAGTATCTATTAGGTATACTGGTGAGTCACCATTTGTTTTAAAATCGTTTCTATTTTATTGTACTTACAACAAGGGTTCAAGAATATAGATAGTGTCATAATATTTCTGCCTAATCGTACTGTTTTCGTAATTTTCTTTTCTTTTAATAGCGGGTCTTTCGGGTGTGAGGGCGCATGTTCAGCAGTTAAAAAAATATCAAATACCACGCCTGCAGTAATGATGGGCACTGGTAAGTCCCATAACATTCATATTTATCAATCAAAGCGGGGAATACAGTGAACATCTAGGAATAGATAAAAAGGAAGTAATACTAAATCAACTGGCGTTTCAACTGCGAATTTTTAGCTTATGATCTAAATCTAAAAATATCAAAATGTAAAAATAGATAGAAACTGTTTAAAAATTTTATTTTCTGTCAATATAATGCGACACGGATGTATTGTCTTGTTGAACGAATTGTGTGATGCGCTCAGCTAGTGCAATGACGGCGGCTGCGGTGTTGGCGGAAGGCGGTCGTGGAAAGAGCCCCGCGTCTACCACGCGGAGCCCCCGCACTCCCCGCACGCGCCCTCGCTCATCCGTTACACGCCCCAGAGCCACCGTGCCTGTCGCGTGGTGCACCGCAAGCGTCATGTGGCGGACGTAGCACCGCCAATAATCTGTGCTCTCCAGCATTTTGCACCCTGGTAGCTTAGGCCTTAGTATTGACGCGTTATAGTTCCTGTATTCTGGTGTCTGTGTCAAATCGTCCAGAATTCTTATAGCACGCACAGCTTCTTCAACGTCCCGTTCGTCTTCCAAATAGTTGGGCCAAATTAGTGGGGCTTGAAATATGTCCGCGCTCGCGAGGCGCACATAGCCGCGTGACTTAGGCTGCAGTACCACTGCCGTTACGAGCAGTAGAGCTTGTCGCTCGTTGACAGCTTCGACCTGGTTCACGAAAGCCGCCTCGTGACGCGTTACGCGCTCGTATAGAGATCTTCCCGCGCCCAGAAAGCCCCTCTCAAGGTACGAATGTATGTATTGCACAGTAGGTCGATCGCATTGATTACCATCGATTCTCAATTGTTTTGTTTTGAAGTCGTAACATTCTGTATTAAGGAAAGCCGTTAGATCCGATAAGCCTGATGTGGCGAGAGGTCCATCTCGCATAGAAATCCAACGGATGCCTTCCTTTAGTTTAGAAAGGATCATCCGGAGCGATGATTTAGCCTCTTCGTTCACCGATATGAATACTAGTGGCGCGACGTGGTCAATGAGATCCTCCCCGACCGGTAGGTCTGCCCGCACCGGGATATTAAGTCGCTGCAGGTGGTCCGCTGGCCCGACGCCGGACCTGAGTAGAATTTCTGCCGAGCCAATGGCCCCTCCCGCGAGAATAACTTCCCGTTGGGAAAAAATCCGGTAAGTTCGGTCGTTCCGAGCGACTTCGACCCCAAAAGCCTCTCCAACATCGTTAATGAGCACACGAAGGCAGGTAGAATGTGTAGCGAGGCGCAGGTGTGGCGCGACACCGGGCAGCCGCAGGTATGCCTCTGCAGTGTTAACGCGCTCCCCGCCCGACGTGAATGATAGCACTCGAGACACTCCGATTTGGGACTCGGCATTTAAATCCAGGTTAGTTGTAAAGTTTAGAAAGTTAAAACCTTTGAAGACGCGAACTTGCCATGGGTTTTCCGAGTCTCCGAAAAACCCGACAGGGACTACGCCCTCCGTATTGTGATGAGACGCTGATGACATCGGTAACTGATATGGATTTTGTAGTCCCTCAGAACGCAAGAAGAATGGACGAATTTCTGGCCAGGTCCAGCCGTGCAGGCCGAAGTCGTAGTCCTCGGGGTGACCACGCGTATACATCATTAGATTGATGGCAGTAGAGCCACCGAGCACACGGCCACGACTAAATCGGCAGAAACGGCGGATAGATGATAGGCAAGAGCGACCATTAGGCTGCGTTGGATAGTAATAGTCCGCAGCCGAGCCGATGAGACCCCCGCCTAAACCTGGTATCCGCGTCAACAGGCCCGGCGTTCCACCCGCCTCCAAAAGCAGCACACCACGTGCTGCTTGCGCTAGTCGAGCCGCCGCCACGCCACCCGCAGCACCCCCGCCCACAACTATGTATTCGAACATTTCTCCATCTAGTATAGAACAGTTAGAAAGGGGTTTTTAAAAAAGTAGCGCAACATAATCATACATAAAACTTCCAGAAAGTATACATACCATGAATATTATGTTCCGGATAGACCCGTGAGCCGAAAGAAGTGATTGAGAGATCGAGGGACGTAACCCACGCCAGAGACGCCCATGCCAGCGTCAACCATATTAAAGTGGTTCCTGAAAAAATAAAGAGGGCCATGTCAAGCACTGCAGACAAAACTATTTCCATTTTAGTAGTAAAAAGTCTAATAACATATTATGTTATTCTGTAGTTGACTAATGTAATACAGCGAATAGTATGCCCTTTTTAGAAGGTAGGTAAGTCCTAGCTGTGGTCACATGTAGTAACGCCGGACGATGTCGCCTTTTGGCGCACCCCTGATGGGCACATTGAAGCTAAGGCACTGTAGTACTGCTGAATTGCTGTCCTTTTCATGTAACCATTTTATTAAGCACATTACAAGCGCGGCGTACTCGAAGTACGCTTCAGTCCACAGAACCAAGAATAAATAAGGATACATGAGTGAGTAAATAAGGTTCAGCTGATGTACATCCTAAAATAGATGTGCCTCAAATATTTGCTTTGTACCCGCTCCAACGTCACCTTAAATCGTGCTCCAAATAACTTCTCACCAGCGCATCATAATATAACACTTTCACAGTAGTGATATTCGTGAAATTCTTTGATTGCCTCAGTAAAAAACACGTTTTGCTATAGGATTTTCGTCAAATCTGTCTTATGTTTTGACGAAACATCAAATCAAGTTTTGTTGATTTCGATTCTATTGTGAAATTGTATAGTATAGCCACGCTAGAGCGGATAAAACTCATGATAAAACACTTGGCAGCGTTAAAACTTAGTTTATTTTAAAAAATTAAAATCAATTCAAGTGTTGTCTACAGCTAAATAATTGTGGAATACGCTTGCGACGAGTCAACACTGGTAAAATCAAAATATTAATTGACTAACTGACACCGTACAAACTACACTCCCCGCTATAAACCGGATAGCACTTTGGTAAGAAAATGGCTTTTGTAATAATGAATTGTGGATACTTACCCTGGAATACTATCTTAAAAACGTTGCTTTTAATTTTCTTCCCTCTTCGAATAAATACTGCGAAGCGACTAGCCTTGGTCTGGCCTGAAAGTTTTTCTTCTAATGGTCTGAAAATTTAAAGTAACTTTCCAAAAATATGTTATATAAAAATAAAAACTTAAAGAGTTACCTACATTTTAAACTTCATCGTTGGCAGTAGAGTCTACTTCAGGCAAACTTTTAAAAGAAGTAAACTATAACGTGTATGAGGTGATGTTAATATTAGCCAAGAAGCAATAACGTCGCGCTTTGATGCGCCAGCGTCGGGTGGTAATCTGACTAGAGGTCATCAAAAAGTACAGTAAATAAAACGAACATTATATTTTATATACACTTTTGACTGTATCCTCGGAGCACACAAAAAATAACATGAGAAACGTATGAGGCATATATCGGTAGCCTTGCTTTGAATCTGCTTACCTTTCCTTAATACTTTAATACTTTAATATTTAGTAAAATTAGACAAAATTGGGACCAATTAGTATTACTCGTAATCTATAAATAATTTATTTAGGTGAATACATGAGAATTCATAGACGTTAAAACATTATAATGCTGTGACGATAACTATACAGCCCTAAAGCTGGCCATCTAGCCTTTGCACACTTTAGACAGTTAGTAGAACTAAAAGGATGACCCATGCTCCGCCCTGCAGCTTGAATACCTACCTATATTAACCTATAATTTTGCCAAACGTCGTTAGTACATACATACGGCGCTGACGGAAGGCTGTTTACAGGATGTAATCTCAAATAACGTGAAGTACTATAGTCACGGTTCTCTTCACACAGACAACAGATTTTCAAAATAACAAGAGCATTAATTGAGTTGGAAGCTAGAAAAAATGCAATAGGTAAACATAATTTAAATTTAATACGATTTTTTATGATTAAAGCTGAATTATGGACGGATGTTACTTACCTAATCAATAAAAATGCATATAATCGCTTAAATATTATTCTGTCGCCGTTTATAGTCTTAAATTCTGACCCTTTGCGTACAACAATAGAATACAAGCGTAATAAGGAAATTTTAATTGCTATGTAACGAATGAATGCAATGTAACAGTTGAAGAGAGTGCCTACGTCTCGGGGCGTAACTCCCACGATTTTTCCCCGTTGGGGTAAGATTGAAACAGAAGTTTTCAAACTTTATCCATCTCAGTTTTGAGCCAGAATTTAGTGAACCAATCTGCTCCTGGAACACCGTCCTTAAATGGGGTAACATATCGTTACATGAGAAAAATTACTTTTCTAGATAGCTCAAAACCCCATTCTTGCAAAACTTTAAGGCCACTTGCTAATTTTATTTCGATTTCATGAGCAAAGACGGGCACGTAATGTAATACTTTAGCCAGTTTTTTATTCAAACGGTTGTAAAGCGTAGCAATAGGTATATCATAAATTTTTGTTGCTCCTTCGGCCACGTCGTCTTTAGTATAGGATGTTGCACGTAACGATTTACGGACGTAATTACGAGGCATGATGGCTGATCCTAAATTATTAAAAATAGCCGTATTTTAATGTGATTTCGTAACTGAGAATAAAAAACTATAATGAATTATTTATATGAAACTGTCGCACCCATCTTGTAATTTAAGTTACAATACATGAGGAAAGATTAAATCACTTGAAAAAATACGATGCAAATTACGCACTCTGGGCGGCTAACTTCGACAGTGGTTTGGAAAGTTAGAAACTGGCAGTTTTCACAAAAATACCAGGACTCGTACAAAAATACGTTAAAATTTGCGTCTATTTTTTTAATAGACGATTTGTTGTCTTACCCCATTTTTACATCCTGCCCCCACTTACCCTAACGAATTCAGGTTGGATGAAATGTACCTCGATTTTTCTACAACTAAGAGAATGCTCTATAAAATACCGGAAAATCTATAATACATAATATTATTATATAATATGTATTATGTATTTTATATTATATAAAAATATTATATTTTTTCTCTTGTCAATTAATGTTTCGGCCGTGTAGAAAAAACGGCGTTTATCCGCTGTTTTTGCGTGATCTCAAAAGCTGCTTATTTTATAAAAATTTGCAATAATTAAGTTATAAGTACAGCTATCGCCATCTTTAATAGCTATCGTTTTAAAAAATGTTATATTTTGGATGTTTTAACGATTTTTTTTGTATGTATGTTTTGGCCAAAATCCAGGTTTCTTCGAGCGCTATATATTATATAGTCTATTTAGATTCATGATTTCTAATCTGTGGTATAATTGTATATGAAATAATATGAATTATAAAGATAATTAACCGTTTTAACTTAGTCATAGTGTTTTTTTGAAAAAGTTGGATTACTTATATGGTCTTGCTTTCTTTCTTCCGCGCATACACCCGAGGGTGGCGCCGGGAGCCCCGTTACGCCCATGGGCTTGCGGGGGGTTTCATGTTCGCGCCCCGCTCAACGGCGGGGCGGTCGTTGTGGCGGGCCTGGAGCGGCCCTGAACCTCGTTACGATGCGGACCGTCTTCGCTCTCGCAGCGCCTTGATCGTATTTGTCAGTGGGGCTGGTGGCACCCCCCCGTGGCGGCAACGGGCGCGCGTGGGCGTGGTCAAACCACTCCGGGTGAGACCCTCGGTAACCCGAGGGAGGCCCAGCGAAGAAGACCAGCGAACGAATCCTCTGTGCGCTCCGAGTCGCCAGCGGGAGGGGTCCAGCCCTTTTGTCTTAAATTTTTTTTTTATTTGGACCACAAAATTAGGACAAACACATGATATAAATTGACATACATACATAAATATCAAAAGCGGTGCCGTCCCTATAACATGTGGACACGACCAGCGAAATCAAGTAGATACAAAAAACAGTGTTAAATACAAACAAGCATAAAAATTAAAAATGCAAACTATAAAAGAATTAAACTATTTGAACCAAGAAAATAAATTATCGGTACTGTGTCCTAATTCTACTCTGAGCTGAGGCCAGAGAACCGTGAAAAATGTCAAAACTCTGTGCAATATCATTATGGTAGCGACATAACCTATTAATTGGTGAGTTTCTGCCAACGTTTGTTCGACAATGTCGGATGTGAAAACATCTTCGATTGTACAAACGACTCCCGACCCGAGGAACTTGTACCTATGGATAAACGTTCTATAATTTCTGGGCAATCCACAATTCCGTTAATTACTTTAAATAGTTATAGCAAGTCGATGTTTGCTCTACGAACACTCAGAGATTCCAAGTTATAGAAATTTAACCTATCCTCATATTTACTCAACATTGCACATTTATTATTTCTAAAGGATAGATGGTATAAAAACTTTCTCTGCACCCTTTCCAGCCTCGCTGAATGGGTTAAATACATTGGAGACCAGACACAACTATTGAACTCCAATATGCTTCTAACGAGGCTGGTAAAAATAGTAACTGCGACACTGGGATCGGTAAGACTCCCTGTTATTCTGGAGATAAAACCAGAGAGCTTTGAGGATCTTTTTATAATACTATCCACATGCTCCCTAAAACTTAGTGAACTATCCATAATGACACCCAAATCTCTTATGCTTTTAACCTCTTGAAGTTTCTGGCCCCTTATGCAGTATGTTAATGGTGAAGATTTCTTTTTTTTTCGAAAATTAAAACCGTTAAATGCGATGTTTATGTCTTTGATGAGGTATCGTTACGTTCCGCGCGAACTAGCTCGCGCGGGAAGGTTCGTCGATGGTCCGGGGGTCTCGTGTGGTGAGGGGCGAGACGCTGGAGGTGCTGGAAACCTGAGGTGTCCGCACGCTCGAACATGCGCCTCGCCAGCTCTCCGATGTGGTCATCAATGGATTGTTCTCTGAGGTCTCGTAGTATAGTGGAATTTCTCACGTAGCGCAGCCGACGCCGATGCGTCTCGGCTGCGAGAGCATACCACGCGGGCGCCGCTTACGTAGGTCTTGTAAAGCGCCAGTTTGCGCCTTACTGGCAATGACGACTGCAGCACAGGGCGCAGTCTGGCGGCCACCGCCTTTGCGCAGCCTGCGGCTGCAGCGATGTGCGGGCGCATCGTGAGGCCTCGGTCCAGTGTGACGCCCAAATAGGTTGCTTGGGGGCGCCACTGGACCTCGACCCCTTGTAAGCTGAGTGGTGGCGGGAGGTGCCCCCAGCCAAAGACAATGGCCTGGGTCTTGGCGGCATTGGCGGTCAAGCGCCGCTCTGCCAGCCAAGCGGGAAGGGCGTCCAGCGACCTCTGAAACTTGATGGCTGCGTGGCGCGCGTTCAGGGAAGAGGTGATGTAGGCCGTGTCGTCCGCAAACAGCGACGCCGCACATCCCGCCGCAACTGGAAAGTCATTAGTGAAAATAAGATAAAGGCTTGGGGATAGGCAGCTGCCATGAGGGACACCCGCGGCGATCGGTCGGTAGCTCGACTTCTCCCCTTCGATGGAGACGTGGAAACGCCGGTCGAGAAGGAAGGAGCTAATAATCGCCACCACGCGCCGCGGGATGTCGGAGTCGAGGAGCCTGTGCACCAGTCCCGCGTGCCAGACCCGGTCGAAAGCTTTTTCCATGTCGAGGAATACTGCATCTGCCACCTCTTTCTTGTTGTGGGCGACGGTGATGTCGTGCAGTACTCTCGACAGCTGGAGGGTGGTGGAATGTTCGCTTCGGAATCCAAACTTTTCGGGCCTAGGAGTAAAGTGCCGCCTAATAGTTGGTAGCAGCAATGCCTCGAACAGCTTGGATTGCGTGGCCAGTAATGAGATGGGTTCGCGGACCACCTACAACGACAGTTCTCCTCTAACACCGCGGAGGACACAGCACGCGCGTTAGTGGTCGAGAACACCGTCACCGAGCAGCTGGCGCCCCTCCTCCGGCAGACGAAGAGGTGCTATTCTTCTCGCCGAGCGCCGTCAAGAGACAAGCAGCGCGGCTCAAGCTCAGGAAGGCTCCCGGCCCGGGCGGTATCACTAATGGAGGGTTATTAAAATGGTTTGCGTCATATTTGACAGATAGAACTCAGTTTGTGGCAGTTGGTGGTACAGAATCGCAATCATAAAATTCAATTCAAAATTCAAAAATCATTTAATCATATGGGATAACACATTGTACACTTATAACTTGTCAGTAAAGAAATACATAATATTAATGCTTCTAATTTTACATTTAGTGCCAGTTCTCAAATCAAAGGCGTAGAACGGAAGAGAAGAACTGGCAATAAACCCAGTTGTTGTTTTTTACACAACGTTTGTAAGGAGCTGCAACCATTAAACCATGTTCCACATGACATCTTAAGTAATTAATAATAATAACATAAATTAAAAACAAAGAGATGTCCTCTATCAGCAGGAGGCATGGTGAAATAGGAGCAAGCACTTACATTCTCGTGGGAACAACGCGCAAACACATAGTCGAAATAATTAACATCACCGCATACACGAATTCAAGTACGACCAGTCACCACAAGTAGCACCCATTCACGAGTATGACGCATGGCCAGCCATCGGCCCCCTCGCCATATTTTAGGGAGAGAGACAACCCGACGCATGGAAGCCGCCACAAGCAATGACATTTAAGCGAGCATGACGATCCTTGAAATGTGGACTTGGCTACATAAGAAAATAATAATAATACTGAAATAATTTGATACCACATGGATCACGGTTTGTTCCCACTTTACATTAAAACAGTCGTGGATGTTGACGATTGCCCCAGAGTCTGGAAATGGAGCCGAGAGATTCAGTCGCGTTACCTATTTATACTGGAGCAACTCATATCCAAGCACTAGGATCGTTTAAATATTCATTTATATTATAATAAGCCTTAGCAAGCAGTTTTACTTTAATGTACGATTTAAATGTATTTATTGACAACACTTGTATCTCACATCATTTATTGTTGTATCTCACATCATTTATTGGTGAATTCAAAAATGTGTTCACTCCAAAGACTTTTTTGGTCTCGGAGAAACCTACCCTTTGTGACTGGGCAACTCCGGAGCTACACAAAAAAAGACTAAAATTGTATGAGTTGTATGATGAAAAACAGTATAATGACAGTGAAGAATTTAAAACTTATGTTAGGATATTCTCAAAAACTTTTAGGCAAGAGTGTAGAATCGCTAAGGCGAAACACTTAAGTCTTAAAATAAACAACAGCTCTGATAAGATAAAGGCTACTTGGAAAATTATAAACGAGGAGACTGGAAGAACCTCCAGAAAGGATACTGAATTTAAGGTGAACATAAACGGCAAAGTAATTAGTTCCGACCTCGAAGTAGCCTCTGCATTTGAAGAGTTTTTTACTAACATTCCTTTAAATACAAGTTACAACCAGCGTTCTAAATTCTTCACCATCAGCCGCCCTTATACTATTGAAAAAGAATGTTCCTGTATGCAATGATAAGTTTATATTTAGCCGCATTAGCTGCAATGACATTATAAAAACATTTAAACAGCTAAAAATAAAAAAAATAAAGATCTTTGGGGTGTATCTGTTTTCATTTTACAATCAGTAATCAATACTATCAGTTCAGAGTTAGCTATAATATTTAATGAATGTATAGATTGTGGAGTCTTTCCAGACCAGCCCTGCGATTCTGTAACTCACTTTTCGAACTCACACAGCGGTTTTCGCATCGGCGGTCGCTCTGAAATCAGTCGTGAAGCAGTCATTTTATGATTTGGCATTCTGATAAACAATAAACTACAATCTCCCGCCTTTTTAGAATGCGAAAACCGCTGTGTGAGTTCGAAAAGTGAGTTACAGAATGTATAGATTGTGGAGTCTTTCCAGCCCAGATGAAGATAAGTAAAATCACACCGTTATTCAAAACGGGCAGCACTTCGGACCCCACAAATTTTAGACCCATATCTGTGCTGCCGGCTTTGAGTAAAATCTTTGAAAAAATCATTCTTGAACAATTATTGATACATTTTAATAATAATAAACTTATGCATAGCCAGCAGTATGGTTTTACAAGAGGTCGCTCCACAGCAGATGCTGGCATTCAATTAATTTCCGAGATTTTAAATGCTTGGGAAAATTCTCATGATGCCATTGGAGTTTTTTGCGACTTATCAAAGGCTTTTGACTGTGTCCATCACGAAATCCTAATCAAAAAACTTCAACACTATGGCATTGGCGAAAAAGCGCTAAATCTTATGGAATCATACCTGAGCGATAGAATTCAAAAGGTAAATGTAAATGGAGCTATATCAAAGGGATCCTCTGTTACTATGGGAGTACCGCAAGGCTCCATACTTGGTCCCTTCTTATTCCTCGTCTATATAAATGACCTACCATTTCTTGTAAAGGAGCTTCACGAGATAGTACTGTTTGCTGATGACACTTCGCTTTTATTTAAAGTGAAACGACAAAATCCATCACTTGATAACGTAAACAGTGCCATCTCCAGTGTAGTTCACTGGTTTAATACAAATAATCTTAAGCTAAACGAAAAGAAGACAAAATGTGTTAAATTTGTAACTACAAATGTAAAAAGTAGTCATTCTCAAATAATAATTAAAGACGAGGAAATAGACTTTGTTGATAATGCGGTGTTCTTGGGAATTACATTAGATAGTAAACTCCAGTGGGGTCGACACATAGAAGGTCTTTCGAATAGGCTAAGTTCCGCAGCGTTCGCAGTAAAAAAGATACGCGATCTTACGGATGAGAAGACAGCAAAGCTTGTTTATTTCAGCTATTTTCATAGTATTGTGTCATATGGTGTTATTTTGTGGGGTAATGCAGCTGACATTAAATCGGTATTTGTAGTGCAAAAGCGGGCTATAAGAGCGATCTGTGGGTTGTCCCCACGGGAGTCGGTCCGAAAGAAGTTTAAGGAATTACATATTTTGACTCTGGCAAGTCAATACATTTATGAGAATATTTTGTATGTGCGGAAAAATATAGATATTTTTAAAAAGAATAGTAGCTTCCATAATTATAGTACTCGTAATAAAGACAAAATTAGCGCACCAACCAGAAGGCTGCATTAAACGAGTAATTCTTTCCAAGGCAATTGTATACGTTTTTTCAACAAAATCCCTAGTGAGATACAAGTGTTGTCAATAAATAAATTTGAGTCATACATTAAAGTATAACTGCTTGCTAAGGCCTATTATAATATACTGCTCAAAACAATTAGCGGAACAAGATTTTTCTCCTTTCTATTGCTTAAACTAAAATTAGATTTATATTAACTTGTACGCTATTTTTTACCTTGTTAATTTGTTAATTTGTTAATTACTACAATTAATAAAAAAATTCAATTTGTATTTTTTTTATTAAAAAAATTAAAATGTGCATTGTAGACGAAAAACTAATTGGTGATAAAAAGGTCCATCAAAGAAATATTCTTATATCGTTTGAATATTCGTCTTTAGTGACTTTCAGTAACGTGTGTGGCGTCCATGAGCCCTAATCACGGCTTGACAACGACGCGGCATGCTTCGTATGATCCTCCGAATATCTTCTTGTGGAATTCACTCCCATTCTTCAATCAACGCTTCAGTGTTTGAGGTGTAATCGGACACTTCCGGATGCGCCTGTCAAGCAAGTCCCAAATATTTTCAATTGGATTTAGGTCAGGGCTAATGGAAGGCCACTCCATTACACGGATTTCCTGGTGTCGTAAGTAATCTGACGTGATGGCTGCAGTTTGCGGCCTGGCATTATCTTGCATTAAAAGAAAATCTGGGCCCATACCATATGCTGCGGGCCAAACATGATCTTCGAGCACATTTTCAATGTAAGTTTGAGCACACAAGCGCCCGGGAACAACGACGAGATCTGTGCGCTCGTCCAAACTAACTCCGACCCAAACCATCACAGAGCCACATCCAAATTTGTCATATTCCTGGACTGCTGCTGCACTGTATCGCTCGCCTGGGCGTCTGTAAACACGGAGACGACCATCGCAACGTGTTAGACGGAATCGTGATTCGTCAGTAAAAAGCACTGACCTCCAATGTCGAAGTTGCCAATTAGCGTGATTTTGCGCGAACTGTCGGCGAGCTTGTCTATGTTGAATTGTTAGACGCACAGCCCGAACTGGTCGGCGTGATCTCAAATTGGCTTCCAACAACCTATTTCTTACCGTCTGGTCGGAAATTTGTACACCAGTAGCCTTAGTGTATTTTGTAAATCTCTTGCAGTTGTGGTGCGGTTAGGTACGTAAAGCACAGTTGACGATGTAGCGATCTTGCAAACGTGTAGTTTTTCTCTTTCGACCTTGACCACGCCTTCGTGAGTATTCTCCCGTCTCACGGTATCGCTTCCAAAGTCTGTAGATAACAGAAGGGGCTACTCCTAGATCATTTCCTACATAACGCATAGTTCGACCCACTTCAAGCAAAGCGATAGCTCGGGAGACATGCAATTCAGTCAGATCTGGCATTATGACCTAAACTCACGCGCTTCAATGAATAACAATACTCAAAAGGCTCACTTCAATTTCTATTAATACTCAAAAGATTGATAAAAACTACTTAAAATGATTGTGTTTTCTGTGATTAGAAAGTAATGAAAATTCAAAGACGTCACTTTGTTTTTCGTCTACAATGCA